TTTTGAAAAAAAAAAAGAATTGGTGTAAGCTATTACTTTGAAAAAAACTGTTGCCGGTGGAAAAAATGAAAAGACAAAATGAAGATTCAAATAGAAAGAAAGGGAAAAGGCTATGAATTACAATATAATATATAGCTATTACAAATGTTAATTTCAAATGTTAACAAAAAGACAAAATAACAATCTAATTTAATCTAATCAAATCTTGAAATTAACATTTGTAATATAATCTTAAAAATAACAATCTAATCTAACAAAGGAGGAAGGAGAAGTTAAAAATGAATTAGATTGTTATTTTCTCTTTTAATTTTCTCTCTTTTAACAATCTAAGCTATAAGTTTGTAAGAGAGTTATGAGCTTTAAAATTAAACATGTTTAACAAAAAGGATTTATAATTATAAAAAACATGTTTTGTAATTTATATAGATTAGAGTTTTACATTAACATTTGTTTTGTTTTTTAAAATTAAGCATGTTTAACAAAGAGGATTTATAACTATAAAATATATTTTGAAATTGATATAGATTAAAGTTTTACATTAACATTTGTTTAGCTTATTGATATTTTTTTTTTAGATTTTATGTTAGTATGGAATAATTAATGCAAGTAGTAGCCTAATTCCAATTAACTCCAAATGCATTTAGTTTCATACTATATGCATTTTGTGTTGTGCTACTGGAATACTTTTACAAAATCACATTTCATACTTCATGCATATTTTTTTTTGTTGGAACTACTTACTGTTGGTTACGCTTTCAAACATCTATTGTGGTTTCATATACGGTTTATATGTTTGTCATCATTATAATATGTTAGTTAATATAAAATTTGAAAAAAATTATACTATTATTATACATTTGAAATTGAATCCTCACGATAGTGCACGGTATTCTACTAGTATATATAAAGCATAAAAATTATTATATTACAATATAAATTTACATATAAAAAATATTTTTTTTATTTTTATTAAATTTATATATAATTTTTACTAAAATTTATATTTTCCTAACCTATCACTGTATTAAGTGATACTATATCATAGTTAAAAATTTTCAGATCTACTAACAACATCAACTCAACTCATAATCTTTACATTTCAAGTTTTAACTCAACCTTATGGACTAATGTGAAGGGTTCATAAGTAACGAAACATTTGCTTTGGCACCAAAATTTATTAAAATTTTAAAGCTAAAATATTTATGGCTTGTTTACATATCACTTATTTTACGTGCAAGTCATCAAAGCCAGACTTTACCCAATATATATATATATATATGTATTAAAATAACTTCTGTGATTTTTCAAATGTTCAAAGTTTTTGTTTGATACCAAGGTTGCCACCTAGATTTTATGAAGGCTGCTTTTACTGTAGAGTCGAGGGCCCTTGAGTTTGTGCCTTTAGATGTATTTTTCATTCAAAGTTTTGTTTTGGTTTTTTTTTTTCCAAGTTAGTTTTAGTTTTTTGGTGACTATATTTATGGTGGAAAATTTTGGAAGTTTTGATGCTTTTTTTTTTTATTTGCTTTGTGTTCTTTTCTTTGGGAGTGAGTATGTTTGCTATGCAGTTAGGGGCATTTAAACTTTTCGAAGAAAGCTTTGTGTTGCTAAAGTTTACGCCAACCACTAGTGTTAGGTAACATAGAGTAGAAAGTAGGTGATCTTATATTAAATTGGCTGTGGATTTAATGTTTTTAAGAAATATAGAATGATTATGGTAAGAATTTTAAAAAGTAGCTTAAGACCATTTGATAGTAAAATGTTCGTGATAGAATTTATAAAGTTGAATGAATATTTTTCACCCATGAATGTTACATTTAAAATGGGCTTTGATAATTTGTTAAATGTTAATACAAATAGTTTTGTGTTTGATTTAATGTATTCCTAAAAATAAAAAAGAGAGAAAAAGTTTCGAAACAAAGAAAATGGAGACATGGATTTAAAAATAAAAACTTTGCCTTGCAATTTAAATAGATTTATTTATCAGCATTTTTTATTATAAAGCATGCATGAAAATTGAAACTTAAAATGTCAAGCTTTAAAAAAAAAATTAATATGTGTCACAATTTTAAAATTGTTCAAATAAAAATAGTATATAATTAGATTAGATTAGATTATTATTTTTAAAATTTCTATGAAAATCTAACTGTTGAATGAAGAAAATAGGTAATTTATTTTTTAAAATTATTCATAAATTAATTTTTTTTTAAAGTTTATTACTCTTATTGAAAATTTGTTTGAAAAGATATATTTTTTGAATAGAAAAAAATAGTTAGTTAATATTATTATTCAGTTAAAAAGAATGAGAAGTTGGTGAAAACTGTTACTCTTTGTTTGAAAAGAAACAAGAATTGGCGTAAGCCATTACTTTGGAATAAAGTGTTGTTGGTGGAAAAAATAAAAAGACAAAAAGGAGATTCAGATTGAGAGAAAGGGAAAGGGCTATGAATTACAATCTAATATATAGCCATTACAAATGCCAATTTCAAATGTTAACAAAAAAACAAAATAACAATCTAATTTAATCTAATCTAATCTTGAAATTTACATTTGTAATCTAATCTTAAAAATAACAATCTAATATAACGAAAGAGGAAGGAAAAGTTAAAAATGAATTAAATTGTTATTTTCTCTTTTAATTTTCTCTCTTTTAATAATCTAAGTTATGTGTTTGTAAGAGAGTTATGAGCTTTAAACTTAAACATGTTTAACAAAGAAGATTTATAATTATAAAATATATTTTGTAATTTATATAGATTAGAGTTTTACATTAACATTTGTTTAATTATTGATTTTTTCTCTTTTTGAGATTATATGTTAGTATGGAATGATTAATGCAAATGACTATTGTTTTTTTTTTTTTTTTGTTCTTCAAACTTTATTTAGCATTATATTTTAAATTTAAATTTAGATATGAATTACTTACAAATTCTTATTATCATTTACCCATATCATTAATGTTTATGAAAATTTTGTAGGATTACTTTATTATTTTTATAGCTTTTAGGATGCTCTTGCAATGATGTTGGTTTTTGTGAAAATATTGTTGTGTGGATCATTGCTTTTTCTTTTTTTTTTGTTTATTCCATTTGTTATTAAGCTCATTTGCTAAATTTTCAAACAACTTAACTCACATTTTTTAGTAATGTGAAAATTTTGGTTTACATAATTTGTTATTTTTAAGTAACTTCAAGCTAACAACCAATTTGTAGCTTACTTTTTCAACTAATTAAGCTCTTTCACTAAATTTTCATGTCTTAAATGCACTGTATTTGGAAAGTTGTCACTTTTGAGATAACAACTAATAAACCTCTACTTGAAACACATGGCAATATGTTGTAAAATTGTAGCAAGCTTTTGACATGAGCTTTGTATGCCAGTATATTTTTAATTGCTATAGTATTTGTTCTCAACTCATAATTTTAATGTGAGTTAAGTTTTAAATACTTGAATGTATAAAAGGAAGATATATAGGGTCATGTAACACAAGTAGCAGCCTAATTCCAATTAATACAACACCAAATGCATTTAGTTCTATACTATATATATTTGGTGTTGTGCTATTGGAATACTTTTGCAAAATCAGATTTCATACTTCATGCATCTTTTTTTTTTTTTGTTGGAACTACTTGCTATTGGTTAAGCTTTCAAACATCTATTGTGGTTTCATATATGGTTTATATGTTTGTTCTCATTATAATATGTTACGTGATATAAAATTTGAAAAAATTATGCTACTATCATACATTTGAAATTGAATCCTTGTGGTAAAGTATGGTATTCTACTAGTATATATAAAGCATAAAAATTATTATATTACAATTTATATTTGCACATAAAAAATATATTTTTTATTTTTATTAAATTTATATATAATTTTTACTAAAATTTATATTTTTCCTAACCTATCACTATATTAAGTGATACTATATCATATTTAAAATTTTCACATCTACTAACAACATCAACTCAACTCATAATCTTTATATTTCAGGTTTTAACCCAACCTTATGCACTAATGTGAAGGGTTCATAAGCAACGAAGCATTTGCTTTGGCACCAAAATTTATTAAAACTTTAAAGCTAATATATTTATGGCTTGTTTAGATATCACTTATTTTACAGGCAAGTCATCCGAGCCAGACTTTACCCAAATATATATATATATATATATATATATATATAGATTAAAATGACTTCTTTATTTTGATTATCATGATTAAATTCACAAGCAATAATTTCATTTTATGCTAGCTAAAAGCAGAAACAGTTGTCTTTTCATTCTAAAACTATAAGTAACTTTGCTGCTGCTACGAAGAAATGGTTCACTCGTTTTGCTTCAGTCCCCCCTGTTATGTTTGTTTGATGAGCAGGAGTCTTGCAAACCACCACGAGTGATGTAGTAAACATTCGGCAATCAATCTTTTCAAACTTGAACATTTGTATAGCCGAAACTAGCTTCCACCTCTAGTTTTTGACTAAAAAGTATAAAAAGCTCAATTGCCTTGCGCCAGTTTCTAGTCATCACAGGAAAATTTCCAAAAAAAGGCACCATATAGAGGATATAAAATCACACATCATACTGCAAACTAAATAACCAAATCCAATTCAAATATTGATCCGCAACTATGTAGTTTTATCTAAACCAAAGGTAAAATCATTTTATAAAGAAGATAACCACACTTTCATTTCAATTTGAGATGTAAAATCCCATCAGATTCAGCTTAAAAGATGGACATCTAACCCCAAAATAAAATACTAATCATAAAACAAAACCAAGAAACCTAATGCCAAAAATGGTGATATCCATTGGTTTCTTCATTACTGCATATTGAAAGGCAGGCCTTACATTGGAAGAAGAAGATATACGTTTGCAGAATAATGGCCGATTTAGTAAAAAACACACAAATCATCATTTCCTCATCTCATCGTGCCTAGGAAATACTTATCAAGTCTACGGTCATGTTTGCAAACAAAGTTTATTCTCAAAAACCGTGAAAGTTACAGGGCACTCAACTGCAAATATGCAACTGTGGCTTTTTATTCATGAATAATGTTTCGAGAAAACCTATCTGCTGTGCCCTTTACAACAACAAGACAATACCCAGTGGCAAAAAGAATAATGACAAGTTTGAAAAATGAAAGGTAGAGATTAACTATGAAGTATAACTATGCAGGGTGACATTACATGAAGATTTATGGCTACCAGCAGGCGGATAATAAACAAATCTGCTGAGAGTATTCACTTCCTGCCTACAATCTGAGGATAAAGTTGGCTTCGGAAGAATGCTGCAGGGCTGCTTTAAGGAGACTGTCATTTCCCTAGAACGAATCAAAACAGTTTGTTAAACAAAAACCAGCAGCTGATGCCTAGATTTTTTTTTTCTTTTATTTCATCATATAACAACCTGCTTTTGTATTAAAAACAACCAATCAGTGAAGAAATACTGCCAAAATTGAAAGAAAAAAGCATGGAAAATTAAAATAAAAAGAAATGAATTTCAGTAATATAAAAATGTTTTTCTGAGAAGGGTATTCGAATGCGTACTACTTTTGGGTTCCTTGTTTTTATGTTTGGGATCATCGTCATCGTCACTATCATTATCATCGGAATCGGAATCGATTTGATCATTGTCATCATCAGAGGGAGGAGAAGGATCAAGGCGAGCAGCATCTATGGCCCATTGGATCACTTTCTCAACTTCATCTTCCTCATCATAGTCGCCGTTGGATTTTTCGAGACCGATACGAACTTCATTAGTAGTCGAGGCAGCAACAGGAGTAGGATTAGAAGAGGAAGACAAGGAAGCCTTGAGAGCAGCGAATCTAGCGGAGAGATCATCACCCAACACACCCCTCAATTCCTCGTCAACATTATCGACGACCGCAACCTTCGATATCCGCTCCTTTTTCTCTTCTTCTTTTTGTTCTTGTCGTGGTTTCGATGGCTGAGCTGCTGATGATTGTTTTTGCTGTAGTGAATGTGATTTTGATTGAGAAGAGGAAGGTCGGGAACGGAGGGCCTGGAATCGACGGTGGAGATCGGGATCGAGATAATCGGGGGCCACGCGGGACATATGGCTGTCAACAGAAAGTTTTAAGAGCACCTCGTCCTGCGCTGATTGCAACAACTGCTCCACCTCATCGCTCCCCACTGCCGTCGCCGCCGAACACTTCTTTCTGTTGCTCATTTTTCCCTTTTCGTATTTCTTTTCCTCTTCATCCGCTGATTCACATTTGTAGCCGTGTCAAAACGGTAAATATCTTTTTTTTTTTTTTGAAGGCGAAAAAAATTGCACTACTTAATTCGCCTTCTTCATTTAATTTTTAAAAGTGTAGTGCTATTTGCACAAAAAAAAAAAAAAAAAAAAGAAAAAAGTTAAGTGATCAATTTAGGATTAAAGGTTTGGGCTATTACTTAATTAAACATATTATTTTATTTAAATAAAGATTAAATGTTATTAATTTATAATCATTTAAGATATTTTTAAATAAAAAATGATGTGAAACACACGTCATTTTATATTGTAAAATCCTAAATTAAATGCTGACATGATTTTTTTTTATTGATTTGGCTATCCAGTTAGGATTAATGATTTTGTTATTTTTTATTAATAAGTTATGTAATAAATATGTGACTAATTAATCCAATAATAAACAAATAAAATTAATTAATTATGTTCAATTAAAAAAAATTTTCTTTCATAAAAGAAAAACTATCAAAATCCCTCTTAATCTTACTGTAATCAAAATTTTCAAATCTTCAATTTATAAAAGAATAACTCAAATTCATGAAAATTAATCAAAACCCAAACAAGTTATCTAACAAAAAATCCAAAACCAAGAAAATCAACCATTAAGCATAAATTCAATTTCAGTATTGAAATCTTCTTCTTTGGGGTTGCTAAAAGATCTCCGCCTTGAGGTTCTATTCCAATTGGATGACAACGCGCATAAATTGGCTTAGACAGCGATGATTATGGCCAGATTTGTAGTGAGAAAAGGGTTTCATTAGATGAAAGAATGAGGGTGAAAAGGGTTAATTAGTTTTTGAAGATATGTTTTGATTTAAGAAGATTCTTGTTTGATTGGTTTCTTTTCTTTTTAATTTGTTTTGTCTAAGATTAAAGGGAGAACAATAAGGTGGTGATAGAGTGACCTATGGTGGAGTAGATTGGTGGTTACGTGGGCATTCAGTTGCAGAGAAAATTAAGAACGAGAAAGAATAAGAAGAAAAAGAGTAAGTTTTAGAGAGAGAAAATGAAAAAAAAACTTTGAAGTAATTTTAAAATTTTTTAATGAGTTAGAATTTTTTATTAATTGTTAGATTTTTTTATTATAGTTTTTGCCACTTGGTACAGAGTTACGATGCATATATATTATTTTTATTAAAACATTTTAAATTTAGCAAACTTAAAAATGTTTAATTTTAATTCAAAAAAATAATACGTTTAATCTTAAATTGAGTAACATTCCAAACGTTTAGTTCTAAATTAAATATTTAACCTTAAAAAAATTCTCAAAACACTCTAAAATATTAATCTTTAAGAAAATTACTTAAATATTCATTAGTTAATTATCTTTTTGTTTTTCTCACTTTTTCTTAGTAAGTTACTAGAAATTCATTTATGAAAATTTCTATAATGTATTGAAATTCATTTTCAAAAAGCATTGCAATTATCTGGAAATACATTTTTGAAAAGTATTACAATTATCTGAAAATCCATTTTTAAAAAGCATTACAATTTTCTGAAAATCCATTTTAAGAAGTAATTTTTTACCTTAGTTTCTTTGTTGCAATCTTTTGATCAATGCTTAGTATGAAACTATCAGATGTTCCTTACTGTGATCTTCAAATGGATCTTTAATGATTTCTTCGAAGTATGAGCTGTTTAAATCTGATAGTAAAAACCTTTAATATTTTAGTTGTACTATCTGTTCAATAATGTTTATAATAATTTTTCAATTCTAACAAATGTGCATCTGAGAGGAATCAATAATTGTGAAGAGACGTTTGTGCAAGTAGCTATTGCATCATTTGCGATAAGTTAGTCATGCTCCATCGCATATGGTGTAGCAACCAACTTGCATGAGTGTATTTTCATACTTAGTGATTTTTTTTAAATACATATTTTTCAGAATTACAAAAAAGTTGCAAACATTATTGAAGGGACAGTGCCTGATGGTTGAAAGATTTAAAGTCCCTATTGTTAGATATGCTAATCTACTGATGATATTATTAGGGATGCTCTTTACAATGCCAAGTTATTTTGTATTAGAAATTCATTTCTGGAAGGTTTTAAATGATTTCAAAAATGAATGTCTAAAAACTATTGAAAAATTCTGAAAATACACTTTTAGAATTTCTTAAGAGAGGGTTCGGTTTGTGAAATATTGAATTTTGAAAAAAAGTGTGATACCTGAAAAAATCCAATACTTAAGATTTTTTTTCATTTTCAAGGCATCCCATGTTCAAATTCACTCATTTGGTTGAGAGAATCAACGTATATTAATTCTTGAATAATTATCATAATCTCTTTGACATATATGATGTCAACTTTTCATTATATTTTATTAATAATAAATATCCAAACACCAAATAATACTTTTAGCAACAAAAGAAGACAAATATTTTATTTAATTATTTTTTATTTATAAAATATAATCAATAAATAAATGTTGGGGATTATTTCACTAAAAAATGTCTTAAATAATTCTTTTTATTTTTTTAAAGGAGATTATTTAAGATATTTTTAAAACCCAAAAATGCCTTAAATAATTCACTTTCATTTTTTTTAAGAAGATCATTTAAGGCATTTTTGGTTAAAGAAGAGGTTAAGGTATTTTTTTGTTTAAAAACACCTTAAATAATCTCATTCATCCTTTTAAAGTGGATCATTTGAGGCATTTTTTGTTCAAAAATGCCTTAAATAATGAACTTCAATTTTGAATCAGGGGATTATTTTATTTAAGAAGTTTCTGATTGAAAAACATCTTAAATAATTTCTTTTATTTTTATGAAAGGGATTATTTAAGGTCTTTTTTTGGTTAAAAAATACCTGAAATAATCTTTTAAAAAAAATAAATGAGATTATTTAAGACATTTTTTGTTAAAAAATACCTTAAATAATCTCATTTAAAAAAATAAAAAAGATTATTTAAGGTATTTTTCATTCCGAAATGCCTTAAATAATCTATTTATAAAAATATAAAAAGATTATTTAAGATGTTTTCCATGCACAAATGCTTTAAATGATCATTTTATTAAAATATAAATGAATTATTTAAGGCATAAGCAAATGCCTTAAGTGATCATTTTTAAAGGTTCATTCTTTGTGCTTGAACTTTAAAAAATCAAATGGCTAATACAATGAACCATAAAAAGCTACATTGCGTGTAAACCCCTAAACCATTAACCCATTTAGTTTGCCTTTTGGTTTTGTCATCTCTCTTGTTGTCGTAATAGTCAACAACTTATTGTTGTCATACCTTTTTTTTTATAAGTATGTGCATATTTTATTCTATTTTGTTCTATTTTTTTGGTTTAATATAAGTTTTTTTTTCTTTTCTTACTATATATATATATTTTTTGTGTTTTAATGCATATTCCAATGTCTATTACGTCGCCTTATCGTCCTTCATTACATGCATGGTGTTTTTTTGTTGTTTGATTGAAGTATTATGGTTTACTGAATGGTTTTGTGAAAATTAGTTGTTATATCTGTACTCATCATTTGTTTCGCATGAAACTCTTATTTAAGGTAGGAATTACAGTATGGCTTGTACCCAAAAAATATTATTGGTTGTAGGATATTTTATATATATTGGTCTAATAACTATAGTGGATATTGGTTGTTTTTTACTATGTGATATTTAGAGAGACAGTTTGGTGTATTTCATATAATTATAATTAAAATCGCAGGTATTATAGAATCCAAAAAACATGTTTCTTGCTACTGAACATAAAGATGACACACCCATAGTGAAAAAAAAAAAAGCAAAGGGATGTGATAAACAAAATAAAGTGAGTGACACAAATATTCACATAAACTTCAATCAATATGCATAGCTTGTGTTAGATGGCATTGCTAAGTTGGCTGGTCACAATGGAGTGGTTGTCTGTAGTAGTATTTCTATTATGTACCATAATTGGTGGTGAGTTTTTGATGATTAAAAAGATCATATATGAAAGTCAGTTGTAGTATGTTTATTCAATAATATCCAAAAACTTATTTATGGTTGGAAATTAATTGAAATAATGTGTTCATACTAATTTTTTAAATTAATTAGGAACGATTTGACGTCCTAAATGAGTATAATAACAGTAAATTGACAACTTAATAGATTTTACTATTTGTTGATAATATTGATTTGTTGGTTGATTCTCCATTATCATATGTAGATATTATCAGTTATCAAACGTGGAAGCATTTTGTTCAAGATTTTTTATCAGAAGAATTCTCGATATACATACCCATTTTGTTAAATGTTTATAATATTTTGTGTAATATATTCAATATCTTAATATTTGATTTATCATATTTCTTTTTTTTTTTTCAAAAAATTAAAGAACAACAAAAGACCATTCTGGCCAAACTAGTATATCACCATTGGACATCGAGAAATGGTTATACAAATGTCAAGAAAAATCTTGTAAGTATTCACACGTTTATTTTATACTTATATATGAATATTTATAAACATTCGGTTAATAGATTCTGATTCTTATATCACTTTAATTTATCATGAATCATCTAGCTCTGAAATTAAAGTTCCTAAATAGGATGTGTGGAAACAAGGATATATAAGGAAGGATAGATCATTCGCAGATAAAGTAACTGAAAAAATAGCTAAAAAGATTGTATGTATAATTGATCAATTTGTTTCATATGATGATTATATATTGTATAACTCGGTTGTGTTATGCATCATCTTATTGTGTTTCATAATGAATTTGCTACTAAATTTGAATTCGGTGAACTACCAACTAGTTATGGTGAAGATCAGTTGTCTTTAGCCTTAGGATTGAAAGAAAGGGATGGTCAAGTTCGTACGATTGGTAGATTTGCGTTGCCATCAAAGTTTTTCAGTAATCAACCTAAACACCATTTAATGAAAAATACAGAATATGAAGCAATCATTTAGTAACAACAGTAAATATTTTATGAGTAAGAGTAATGATTGAATGATCAATAGCAACAACTCACAGCTTTGGAGATGATGTTGGTAGAATGCAACCTAATATGCTTGAAAGGTAGTCAGTTACCAACATCTAGTAGGGACAAGCTTTCGAGAATCAAGTCTTGTAGCAAACCCAAACTCCATTAATAATCATTATTTTCATTTTGTTTTTTCACTTAATATTTATTTGTATTTTATATTTATTGATTTGGTTTTAATATTTATATTTCATTATATATTGTAACAGGATATTG